TTAAAGCACTTGGACATACAGTTTTGCATGTGTGTGAATTTGTTCCATTATCGGTGAGCAAAAATAACTGAAGCCATGCCCTCTATCTAAAGGCAAAGTCAAAATGGGCCTTACCAACCTACCCAGACTCTTGATATAATTGTTCAGTCAGATTCATATGGGTCACATTTTCACCAATGGTCCAAGATGAAGATTATCAATTAAAGTAAATCAATTAAAACTACAGTACACCCAGAACTAAAAGACCTGAGAAATGGAGGATGTTAAAGCTGGAAGAATTCCTTTCATTGTCTCATGCATAGGAAAAGATCAACCATTAAGCTGTTGCTAAATATTAACTAATTTGTAACTGGATTTCAGAGTTCAGAAGTGAAAATCAAACTTCTTATCTGCACTAATCTCACCTGCTGAGTTGGACGTTTGGGGAATACAGGAATTTAATCTAGATTAAATGTTTTCTTAAAAGACAAAATCTTGGAATCTGGCATTGGCTGTGAAATTTTCCATCATATGGGTTCTAATGTAGGCTTAGAACAGGAATCTAACCATTGTCAGAGTCTTCATTTCAAATATCTGATCATAAGAAAAACTTAAAATTGTCAGTTCTCTGTTATGAAACATTATTCATTCATTCAACATCCTTTAAGTCTTAGCACGACAATAGTATCTAAAATTGGAAAACTAAGGTGTTCCTCAACACATCCTAGCCTGTGAAGAAAATACACAATACATTATAAAAGCTCTATAAATACCTGCACAAGGAAATATAAAAATACAGGAGACAGAGTACAAACAGGGCCTTAAGTGGAAATCCTCTATAAACCTTGAAAACTAAGAGCCTATTATTAAGAAATCCTTGCAAAGAATACTGCAGTGGAAACAAACCCACCTACTTCTAATTTGAGTTTCTCCCACCATAAAAAGGCAATAGCAGTGTTGCCTACTACAGTATGCAATAATTAAATGATTTATAAAGTGTGTATGAAATGTACATTTGAATTCAATTCAATTCAATTCATTAAATTCAATTGTGAAGTTGTTTAGAATTAGGACACATAGGAATTAGATGATTCTGAAACCTGTACTTGAAACTAAGAAAGGTTCTTGGGGATTCGTAGTGCTTTGATGAAAGATGATTGAACTAAGTTGGCTGACCTAGAAGAAGGAGGAAGATGTTGGCAGAGAAGTAGACATGATTACTGTCTCTGCTTTTGGGACCCGGACATCTTATACTAAAAACCATACCATTATTACATATTATATTTCTTGGTGTTCTTTCATAGAGTCTTAACTAATCCATGAAACAACTTTATGGTGTTAAAAAATGGGAAATTATACTTGCAAGAAATCAACAAATTACTCAAGATTAAAGACATAGTTAGAAGTAAAGCTGAAATCTGGGCTACATTTCAGATGCCCATAGAGTATAGGTATCTCTTTCTTAGCACTGTTTCAAAAACAAACAAGCATTTCTTAATACCAATCTAAGAGTGGGACAACTTTTGAAAAAAGCCTGCCATGCAATGATAATTCTAGGTGTTCAGCCAATGCTTTATCCATTCCCTCCTATGTTCTTCCCTATATCTGGTATGCAATTGGCTTATTCTCTATCTCTCATAGGAGGAAACATTAAAGGGGAGAGGATGAATTTTGCATTCACCGTAACTACACATAAGTGTAAATTCACAGCATTTTTTCACTAGCTTAATTTCTGTAGACTTCTTTTTTTCTTTTACATAAAGAAGGAAAAATAGCCCTTTGCCTTATAGGGGACCATTAGAAAATCACATGCCCCAAAGCCAGTGAGCATTGCAGATTAATCTACTTGAAGAGTCTTGGCTTTAACAAATTTGGAACATGTATCCTTCCCTCCACAAACTTTCTCCTCTTCCTCTGCCCCATCTCCTACCCCATTCTTAACCACTAGTATCCATCACCACCACCACAAAGTTTTCTAAAATTTTATTTGATCTAAAAATATATATGGTGAGTGTATCACTCATCTTCCAGGTACTAAGGTTCCCACCCAGCATTGTAGTATTGAAGATTCAGTATTCTGTTTCCTAAAATCAGAGTATGCCTTGGTAACTGGAATTATAGGTCTCTCTTAGACCATGTTTAGATCACTCTTTCCAAAGCTGAAATCCCTGAGAGGTTTAGTTGTGAATAATAAACCCAGAATTTTTGTGAAACACTGTAACTGAACAAAATTTTTTCACTTGCAGCCAACCAACCAAAATTTGGCTTTTCCCTTCCCAAATCAAAGCTACCAAATAAAAATTCAGTATGTTAATGGTATGAATTATAATTAGTGCTCACATCTGTTCTGAGTTTAATAAAAATTATATAATCAGTTGCACTTACCATTTGCCAGGAGTTCTTTCACTCATTTAACACATAAAGGGTTTATAGTGTTCCAAACCATGTTAAACTCTGGAATTGGACAAGTCCAGAAAAGTCTTCACGTTGTTCATAGTGAATTGGGGAAAGAGGTATTAGTCAAATAGATACACACACATACAAACACATAAAATAGGTTCTCTGAAGCTGAAATTAGTGCTTTGTGTAAATTATATAGATAATGTTTCCACTTAGGAGAAAATGGATACTCAGAGAGGTGAAGTTATTAAAAGGTCATCCAGCTAGTAAGGGTCAGAGATTTTTAAACTAAAAGTTTATAATGGTGGGTGGCAGTCTGACTATCACAAAGATTAAGAGCAAGAGTGTTAGATCGATATAAACAGATCTTTTATTCTACCAAAATTTTAAAGCCTCTATACATCATATCCTAATCTTTACTTGAATAAACTAGCAGCAAAGCTTTTACAGACTACCTCCAAGACTCATCCTTGTGTCAGGCTCAGATACTTCAGTAACTGTTGTCCCATGAAACATAAGGAACCTGCTAAGATGTCTGCATACTGAAGGTGAATTTATACAAATGTGGATCCCTGGATCCCTTCCAGCTGTTAATGTCAGCACACCCACGGAATGTGCAACACAAGCACAGCCATGCTGCAGTGAAGGGCCTGAGAGTGAGAGAAGTCTGAGAACTCACAGCTACAATCTAGAAAACGCTGAAAAAGGTAAACATGCCAAAGCCCAGCATCCCTGCAATCCTAAATTGGATCTCTAAAAGCCAAACTATTGGGCAGATCCTCTAAATAGGAATGTTATATAACATAAGGCTCTAGATACAAAGATTATTTATGTGCTTATTTGTTTATTTGTTTGTTTGTTTAAATACCCAAGGATGTTTATGATCATGAATTTCAGACATCCTAAGCCAACAGGATAGTAGAAATGGCTGGGTGCAGTCCTCAGTGATGGACATGTTGGTTCCCCTTCAGAATCCTCTTGGTAATGGGGTCATAGGTGGAGCAGACAGAAGAGCCTGAATAACAATTCATCATCCCAAAATTTATGGCTTTGATGAGGAACCTTGTAATATAGCACTCACTATCTTCCCAAATGGCTTCCTTTTCCAAAATGCTAAGCACAGTCAGTTTACTGAAGCTTTCCATTGGTCATTACTACACATATTTCAAAATGGTAACTCCAAACTCATGGCTTTTTCCTGTTTCCTCTTGAGCAGGCTCTGTGACCTTCAGATACACAGGACTCACTATGGCTTCCTCCTTGTTACTGGTAGGCTCTGGGACCTGAGTTTCTTGGAGTCCATACTGCAGTGACCACAGAGAAAGCAGCTTTTCCAGATAGAGCTGTTTATGCAGAGTTCACAGCCTCCCCTTCCTGCCTTCTTGCCTCCAAACTCTTCATCCTTATTCTCTCATTTCAGTTCATGAAAAGGACAGAGAAATGACCAATATCACTAAATTTTCTACTGTCCAAACAGCAAGTACTTTTCAGCAGTTCTATTATGGATGCTTCTCCTTGAGTGGTTGCTTTCTACCAGCATTATCCTTATTTCAATACATAAATGCATACCAGGGTAATAATAATGATGGAAGATGATATCCTTCAGTCTCCTAGAAATCTGGACAGAGCACTGACAAAAGCTCCACAATAAGCATGGTTCCTTTATAAATTTTCACCCTTACTGACCATGTGGTATATTAGAACTTCACCTTGGCTCCAAGGTTTCTGATTCTCTTCTTTACTTGATTTCATTTCAGTTTATTTTCTTAACTCCTGTTTATGAACTGCTTGTTATCTTCAGAGGTCTCAGGCATTTGAATATCCCAGTCCTCTCCCTGCGGATCAGCTGTTAATCTTGCCTATTCATCTTCCTTGTTCACTTGCTCAACAATGTGCATTGAGCTCCTGCAGAGTAGACATGCTTTTTGAAGCTAGGGCTATGTCAGTGAATGAAACAGCCCTGAAATTCTGGCCTCACAGAGCTTTCATCTTAGCAAGTCAGTTGCCTTGCAAGTGAGTAGCTGTTCCAGTCTTACTATTAGTACCCAAGAAACCAGTACTATCCAGAAGCTGTACCAACCAGCCTTCTTAGACTTAGCAATATCAAATTTTCTCCCTAGCTCAAAGTAGAGATCTATATGATAGAATCAAGAAAAACTATCCCCTCCTAGTTACAGACATTGTGGATAAATTCAACACGTACAGTGATAATGTGTTTCCCCATTATCCATCTCCCTTTTCTAGTTCTTGGTAGAGAAGCTGGTTAATATAAAATTTGGGGAAAAGTGACTGGTAGTAAAATGAATATCGGTAACTATAGTTCTTTAGGCTTATAAATCAAATGAGAAGGAAAAATCCAGAGGAAAAAAGCAGAGAGATGCCTGTACAGATATTCACTCTTATCAGTGTGATTAAGTTCTACAGTATGTATGAGTATGCAACATTTCTTCTGTAATGAGATAGAACAATGAGAGGTTTATTAAGGTGCTACTTTGATGTGTTCAGTCCCAAAAACTCTGTATTATTATAGAGGTTGATGGGATCCCACAAAGTGCTCATTTTCACCCAGTCCCAGAGTTTGGATAGCCCATTGGGGTCATGTACAACTGGGTCCATCTGTTCTAGGAAGCATCAATTCTCTTCTGCTGGAAGTGCTTTAGGAAGCCCTGACGAATCTGCTTAGATTTGATGCAGTACACGATGGGGTTCATGAGGGGCGGGACCAAGAAGTGCAGGTTGGCCATGAGCACTGCCAGAGCAGGGTAGCTGCGCTTCTCCACTCGATGCAACACTGACAGCCCAAGTTTGGGCAAATAAAAGATAAGCACAATACAGAGGTGTGAGGCACACGTGCTGAGTGCCTTGAGCCGTTTGCCAGGTGATGCAGTACCCAGTACGGTCCGTAGGATCAGAGCATAAGAGAGTACGATGAGGGAAGAGTCAAGACCCAGGGAGAAGAGGATGGACACCAGGCCAACCAAGCTGTTGATCTGGATGTCTGAGCAGGCCAGTCCCACAAGGTCACAGTGCAGGCAGTAGCAATGAGAGAGCTCACTGATTTGGGGAAAGAGCAGATTCCGCAGGAGGATGGGGCCTGGCAGGTTGAGCAGTACAGCCCTAACCAGAATGGCAGCCCCCATTTTTGCCACAGATGAGTTGGGAAGGATTGTGGCATAATGTAAGGGGTCCTGGATGGCAATAAAACGATCGAAGGCCATAGCCAGCAGCACACCAGATTCCACATAGGTGAATGCATGGATGAAAAACATTTGTGCTGCACAGAGATCGAAGGGCAGCTCCCGAACTCCCAACCAGAAGAGCTTCACCATGGTGGGGAAGGTGGAGACAGACAGCCCCAAATCAGAAGCAGCCAACATGGACAGGAAGATATACATGGGTTGGTGTAAGACTGGCTCTGTACGAATCACGAAGAGGATGATGCTGTTACCCACGATGGAAACAACACAGATGAGGTTGATGGGGATGGAGACCCAATGCTGAGACACTTCTAGCCCTGGAAAGCCAGTGAGGAGGAAGATGGAGTGGCCAGAAGTGCTGGTGTTGCAGGAAAACACAGTGATTCCAGAAGGGAGTTGTCCACCCTAGGAATAAGAGGCATTCATTCGTTTTGTGAACCCCCTTATAAAGTCCCTACCAAGGGTAGGATAAAGAAGAAGAACTGGATCATAACCCATTCTGAGACCACGAAAGAAATTCCACTATCTCTAGGCACTCCTGGCTAATTTGATTTTCTTTCTCTGAAAATCTTTACCCATAAAGTAGCATTTGATACATTTTCTGAATTGATAACTGCTTAAGGCCTATGGTTATTTTGTTAGACGCTTAAAAGTGTGGGCCCAAACAACTTTGTTTTTCACTTAAGTAAACTTTAAATGCCTTCTCTCCAGACTGTCTTCTCCAACTAAACACTGAAGAAAATGAGTAATTGTCCATAAAAATTTAAGACAGTGTTTGGGATAAAACCTTTAGGCTCATATTCTATTCTTAAAAGTGGATTTTTCCACCTGATATCTGTTAACAAGAGTATCTGAAAGGCCACATTCAAATGTGTAATGTATTTTCAGAAATATCCTGTTAGGAGATTGGTCACTGGTTTTCTGTTTTTTGGTTTTTTTTGTTTTTTTTTTCTTGTCCCTTTCAAACAGGTTCTCACTATGCAGTTCAGGCTAGCCTTGAGCTCACTTTGTAACCCAGGCTGGTCTCAAATGGTTACTTGATTTTCTGGAGTTGTTATGAAACCAAAATTTTCTATATTCCCTTTCTAAAATTGCCTTTGGGAACCAAAATAAGTCATTTCTATTATTTCAATTTTAATTGTATAAAGTGATTATATACTGTGGGATAATTTATTATGTATATATAATATGTCATGATCTAATGATCAGATCAGAGTAATTAACGTTTCTATTCCTTTCATCATTTTTTGTTTTGAGACAGAATCTGGAATTCACTATGTAGCCAATGCTGGATTCAAACTCGAAATCCTCCTGCCTTAGCCTTTTAAGTACTGAGATTACAGGTGGACACCACTAAACTCAGATTTAAAGTTTTGGTTGATATGTAACAATTGCTTATATCTGTAAGGTACAGTGTGATATTTTAATGCAATATATACTCATCAAAATAACTTCTTTGAGTGTGATGACAAATTTCTCTCCTGCAAAGATAAGTTAGCTTGAAGGAAGTATTCGAGGTTTCTTCAAAGCTAAGTCTGGATCAAGGTGATAATTTACCAGATACATTAAGTTTTGATAACCTTCCTTTCCCAGCCCTACCTTCACCTCAATGGCTGCTTCAAGCCCATGAATTTGATTTTGACCCTGCCTTCAAGACAGACCTGTGCCAACGACTCAATTAGAAGGAAATTCCTCTTAAACATTCTCAGCCCCCTTACTATTAAATTTGATGTGAGAAGTCCAACTGCCTTAACTGAAGGTAGAAGGATGAGGCTGAATACTGAAGGACATCATATCAAGAGTCAGACATCATGAGCTTCCAGGACCTCAGGATTAATACTACATCAAAGAGCCCAGATTGTACATATGAGCTTCTCTATTCTCATAACCTTACAAAGCACTTTTAGATAATACATTCTCTTCAACTTCTCTCCTCAGAACAAGAATGTATTTCTGTTTTTCTACTAAGCACCTCACATTGCTTTGCATCATAGATCAAATGTCTTACAGATCCACAAAATCTAATTCTTGCCCTCTTTCCCTAATACTTATTTCCAACACCTGATGGCTAAGGCCTCTCTTCCTTTTCTGCTATTCATGAAATGCAACCCAAAAAAACTTTATATGTCCTATCACTCTGCAACATATCCTGCAAATCATCAGCTTTTAAACTATCTCCTCATTTCAAATACCAATGAAACTAATTTTCACTGCAAGATCATCATTTTCCAGGATATTAAAAACCTAACTCTCCCACTTTCTTCAGGCTGTGTTATGATTCAAATCACAAACTTCCATTAGAATTATTCTCAAATGTTTATGAAAATACAAGTATGAACACTTAAATTATTATGTGTACACAGAGAAAATATGATTACCAATGATCTTTTGCTACGTGTAGGATCAAATCTAAGCAAAAATTTTGTACTGAATTCAAAAGAGGAAAGAGCTTGTCCATCCTGTATCTCTGATCTTTTCAATATCCTTTTCTTTAAGTGTTATAAATTCTCCTAGGATATCTTTCACCTTATAAAGTTTACCATATTTTATTATTTCAAAAATATTTTATTGGAATACAGCATACACATAGAAGTCTATATTTCATAACTATAAATCTTAATAAATTTCCATAAAATAAATATACTCATGTAATAAACATCTAGATCAATAAACAAAATTATCAGCTTCCAAAGCCTCTTTTGGCCTCTTCCAGTCAGGAAACCAATATCCTATCTTTTAGTATGATTAATTTTCCTATTTTTGAACTTTGTATAATTATAATCATGACACATCCATAGTGCTACATACTTTGTTCATCCCAATTGCTACATAATTTTTTCACTATGAGAACCTACTAGAATATATTTGTTAATTCTACTGCTGATAGAAATTTGAACAGTTAAGTTTGGAGCTAGTATAAAAAATGCTGACATAAATGCTCTAGAATGTCTTTTGTGAACACATGTATGCATTTCTACTGAGTATACAAATAGGAACAGAATTACCCTGTCATAGATTATACATATTTACCTCCAGTAGGCTCTTCCAGTTTTCAAAAGTGATTACACCAATTTACACCCACACCAATGCTGTAGGAAAGTTTGTCCACATCCTCATCAGTACCTTGTGTTGTTGATCTCTTTAACTGTAGCTATTCTGCAGTGTCTAGTCTTATTGCAATGTGATGTCCCCTTCTCTAAAGACCCATATACCCCTGTGGCAGAGGTAAGCCCGCTCTGGTCCTTCCTCTTTTTTTATTCTTTTTCTTCATGTTCCTGATACGTCTTCTGGATAAAATTTCTTAAATAATAGTAAAAATGGGATCATTACATCCACTTCACACATATAACTTTACTTATCCCCTAACTTTGTGGCATATTTTTTCCAATTTCTGATGTGAAATCAGGACTAAAGGAGTCTAAATACCTCTCAGGTGCTATCCCATGAAGCTAAGTGGTAGAACCAGGATTTAAATCCCAGTCAGCCTAAGGACAAATGCTACTCACTTAGTGACTTTGTGGTAGGAAAGAAGTCTATGACTCTTAGCATCTCATAGTTAATTGATCCTTGATCCAAGGATCAACCGACCCAAGGCTGGTTTTTCTGTCCTCCCCCTCCCACTTCATTTCCTTTAAATCAAGTGCAGAGGTTTTAGAGGAAGGTAAATTGATCCACTACAAGGCACAGTCTCCAGACCAATCCACCCAGGCCATTCTGTTTCCCATCATCCCGGTGTCCCCAACATTTGTGCATGGCGAAATCCTAAGGCCTTAATTAATATTACCTGTGGTCATTTGTTACACAGCTATTGCCTTCTCAGTCCAGGTTAGATAAGATGAAAAAGAAACCCCTACTACCCCTACCCAATTTAGTGAGAATATGCCATCAAAGAGGGTGTTTAGTCAGGAAGCTAGACCCAAGCCTGAGGCAGAGTCATACTCTAGCTTGTCATTGATGCATCCCGAAAGTGGGATGCCTATCAAATTCTGCCTGTGTCAGATATAGCCACTGTTCACCGGAGAAAAATCCACAGATTGTTGTTCCCAGATTTGACCAATTGGTTGAGAATTAAAGAGGGACAGTGTTTCCTTTCATCATAGGGTGACTGTGTTCCTTGGCCCAGATCATCAAGGAATAGTTGAGCAGGGGAAAGGGCTGTAATGTAATAAAAGCTCCTCTCAAGCTTGTTGTAAGAGAAGGATCAGTTAATTATAAGTGGAAGGCCTTAAGGCTACTCTTGCCTCCCAAAAAGACAGGAAAGGGAAGTTGCCTAAACAAATGCCCTTCAGTTTTACACACAGACAGAAATGCTGAAGCCAGCTCTTTCTGCATGGCCTTGGTGACCACTGCCCGAAGACCAGATCCAGCTTTGACACCCTTATCCCTATACTCACCACAGCTCCAGAGCCTATGATTCCTCTCATCTCTTCTTCTGTTTGTGAAAAGCATTTCTTGTGGTGTCAGCAAAGGTCAGTACTTTATAATCCTCCTGATGAAGGAAGGGAAATAACAGGTCTGCTGGGATCCAAGTGCAAATCCATGAGATTTACATAACTAAACTTCCTGAGCCCCCTGAGTTCTGGGCCAGGTAGCTCTGGGACTCAGGAGGAAGCATCAAGCAGTGTATCCTGGAGATTCAGGAGCAGCAGAGGGATAAGAATACACCCTACCCTGGGTACCTACTCCTTCCAAAGAGAGAGCTCTATGAATTGGACAGTGACCAAACTAAGGCAGGTAGAGAACAAGAGAATAATTAGAAACTGGGACATACAGAAGGACATGACCTTCAGGAGAAATAGAGACCACAAGGAATTTCTGTCTTTAGAAAGAATGATTAGAGACTCTTATCAAATTTTGCCAAAGAAATATCAGGCAGACCTATCAGGCAAAGAGATGTGCATGAGTGTTTTAGATATGGGAAGCATGTTAGGAAAAAAGAGGTTCTCTACCTGACTTTATAGCTGTATGTAGGGTCAAGGATGATTGAAAATAAACATACTGATGAAATAACCTCTCTCCCAGTAGTACCCTGGGAAATCATCTCTAAAGCATGATGTAGTGGAAAAGCTGTGTTTCTGAATCTGTCACTTATTAACTATGTGACAGTGAGCAAGTGACTTCCTTGAGCCTCTTTCAATAGGAAATTAAAAACAGATTTTGCTAACCTGTCCAAGATGTCATACTAATTTACCCTGGCGAACCATGGTCAGAGTTTACTGGGGAGTTTTACCATTTTACTTATGCTTATTATTGTTTTAAAGAGAAAAATGAAAACAGACTTGCAAAAGAGGGGAGTTTTAATGTTTTATTTTGAAAATAATTTTAGATTCACAGAAAAGTTATAAAGATGTAGAGTTTCTATATATCCTTTACCCAGTTTTCCTTAATGTTAACATATCATAATAACCATGGTATCTTGGTCAAAACTGAGAGGTCAAAATTGGCACATTGTTGTTAAGCTCAGACTTTATTTGCTCTTCATCAGTTGTTCCACTAATCTTTTTCCTGTTCCAGGATCCAGTCCATTGTATCACATGACATTTGGTTATGTCTCCTTAGTCTCGTCTGATCTATGACAGTTTCTCAGTCCTGTTCAACTTGAACACACGCATTATCTAATAATCTGCAAAAAAATAATAATCTGAGAAACGATTCACAAACATTAAATTTTCTTTATTTATTGTGATTTATCTAGAGATTAGCCAGGAAAGGCTGTGTATTTTTGAAATGCATTATGAATCCTTATTCAGTTTAATAATGCATTGCATTATTTTGTATCTTTTTATTGCCTCACTTCCTGTTTCCCCAACTGATAACCTCAGTTACTTTTTTCTTGCTATGACTGGCTTCTGAACAAATAATCATTGGTTTTATCCTCCCTCGGCTCCATTTGGAGGCCCTGTTGGATTTCTGTCTAACAGGCACAGTGCCAGAGTGAGCTCATCCCTCAGCCAGTAGGCTTGCTCACCAGAACTTCAAGGAGAAACTCCCTGCAGTATTCCACAGAATACAGAGGGGAGGCAGTGTCACATTTCTCACTGATCAATGTTCGTTCCAGGGAGAGCTAACTCTCGATACTAAGACAGGCTTTTCCAGAGTAACTGATTAATAGTATATATAATTATAACAGAGCATTTATTAAATTGGCTCACACAGTCACAAAGCTGAAAAGTCTCATCATGGCCAACCACAGGCTGGGAGCCAGGGAAACAAGTACCTGCTTAGTCCATGATTCCCAAGGCCTCAGAACAAGACAGAGTCCATTGATACAGCCCTGGTCCGAGACTAGAAGCCTCCTGTAGAGACTTTGGTGCAAGTCCATATTCAAAGGCTGAAAAACACGAAGTCCAATGTCCATGGGTTGTGACAACAGAGAAACACACTGCTAGGAAAGGGCAGTCACAGGCAAGAGGTAGTTTCTTACTTCTGCATTTTCAGTCCATCCAAGCCCCCAGCCTTTTGGATGGTACCACCCACACACAGGACATGTCTTTCCCACTTGGGTCACTGGCCCACACAGCAATTTCCCTAGAAAAAAACCTCACAGACACAACCAGAGATATTCTTCCCCAGCTGTCTAAGCAGCTTCAATCTAGTTAACACCCAAAATTAAGCATTTACTCTCTGTGCTTTTTTATTATATCATCTGACCAATAATGACTGCTTAAAAATCCAGAACCTATGTCCTACAGCATGTTTCATCCAAATTCAAACTTGTATGATTGAAAATAAACCTGTACTGATGAAATAATCTCTCCCTTCCAATATTACCCTGAGAAA